GCGACCCAATTCTTTGAATCAAAGAAAATTTCTTTACCCTCATTCCGTTAAATATTTTCTTATGAGTAAAAAAATATAAGTTAATTGAAAATAATATTTTATTAAATCAAAATTTTCTTTTTTTAATTACGAATTTCTCATTTAGTTGTACGAAATGTTTTTTTGGATCGACTAAATTTGTTTCAATTAAAAGAAAATATTTAACGGAATGAGGGTAAAGAAATTTTCTTTGATTCAAAGAATTGGGTCGCTCAGTGATACAAATATTTTATGATTAAAAATAATTCTGAATTAAAAGGAAGGTTTTAAAAGCTCTTAAAATTATTTATTTGTTTCAGGTTAAAGACTATAATGTGATGTTTATTGATAATCCCGTTGGCGTTGGTTTTAGCTACGTTGAGTCCTCTGACGCGTATAGTCAAAACAACAAACAGATTGCAAAAGACCTAATGGAATGTATGAAAGAATTTTACAGGCAATTTCCAAAGTTTGAAAATACACCGACTTACATAGCTGGTGAATCTTATGGAGGAAAAATGGCTGTTGAGTTTGCGTATTTGTGGTATCAAGTAAGAATAATTTCAATACAAAGGATATTGGGTGTACATTTTTAAAAGTATTTTTCATCAAAAAGACAGTTGCCGTTAGATTAAATAAAAGTAAAATGTAGTTTCTTCGTGAAAACAAAGACTTGGAAAACATACGCCAAAATAATTTAATAAATAATTTGCTCGTAAATTTATATGACGGATTTTGTTTTTATAAAATTATGTTACCAAAAGCTTTCACTTGTGAGAATACGATTGTACATTATTACACATTTTTAGTATGAAAATATCTATTTATTATTACAATTGCTATGAATATGTATTGACAAAAAATTATAATTTTCACAATAAAATATTCATCAAAGGAGTAATAAATAACTGACAAATATTTTTAATTTTTTGAGGTAAGATTATATAACAAACTACACGGTGTAAATTTTTCGTAAGGTTACATAATTATAATGTTTGGCTCTCAATAAATTCATCCGGTATAAAAATAAAAAATTAAATCATATATGTACACTCTCATGCCACTTCAATAAAAATATTATTAAGATTTTTATCGCGGTTTTTTTATGATCAACAGTTGATTTATATGTTTATTTTGATCTTGGTTTTTGAAACTGAACGATGCAAATTATTATGATTTTTGCAAATAGTATTGAAATCACATATTTATATATTATTAAGCCAATATAACATAAACGACATTATGATGTACGAGTCATAAACGACATCATGATATACGAGTAGGTAAGTTAAGTCAACGAGAAATTTGTTATGTCCATCATTTGCACGAAGATACTGACGATCAGCTATTCAAGTGACAATGGTTATTACCGTTGGAAAATAGCTTGGATTAATTTTGGTTTTCGATCAAACACGTATTAAACAAGATTACTAAAGTGCTAACTTCTATTAATCAAAGAAGCATATTTAATTCAATTTCCAGTAATTACGAAAGCTAAAAGTGAAAAAAAAGAATGCGTGATTAATTATTTATACAGAAATTCATTAATATTTTATTAATTTATTTCAAGTATGATGTTATACTTTTTTAAATTATTAAAAGGTGATATAAATTAATTTTATTAAAGCATATAATTATATTACATAGTTTAAAAATTTTTTATTTTTACATCAAACAAAGTAAATGTTCATATTAAAACTTTTATAAACACTGTAAAAAAAAGCATTGTCTTATTCACACACTTGGAAACAAAATACTTTTACCACGTGGTTTTTATCTCATTAAACAACGTCTTGATTAATATAAAAATAATGAGTCATAATTTTATCTGCAATATCAAACTAACTGCATCTGATAATCAATGGTATCTGATCGCTATGCTAGATTGGCAGTTTAAAAGTGCAGGAGTCAATTAATTTTAAACATTTTTCGCAATAAATATTCAATCCACCGATGTGACAGTTCACTTTCGAGTTCTGTAGTGTTCCATTGATTGACTCACAATGCGATTGAAAATATTGTCAGTTTTAGTTTTTTGTGTTCTAGTTAACGTAACACGAGGTAAGTTTTAAGTGTTGAATTTTTTTTTTCATGCACTGCAACAATTTTTTCTGAAAACTTTATACCATCCAATTTTTCACTGTGTTAAATTTGTGGTTTTTCTTAAATTTCTCAATGGTAATAGTGGGTGGAAAATAGGATTTTCTGCTCTGCGGAAAGTATTTACCACATACTGTCACGAAAAATGTGTATACAACTCGCTCGGGACTATTCCAACTTTCTTTTTTGACTCTTTTTGTGCTCATATTTGTCTTCTGTTATTTTTTTCTATTTATCTTCGATTTTTTCAATCTTATACCCTTAATTGTTACATTTCCATTTATTTCTGACATTGTTACTATCCATTTCCTTTATTTTAAGACCGTCTCGGGATACTAGTTACTCTCCATGGTGTTGTTGTCCATGCCTGGAAAAAAAAGGTAACAATCCCTAAAATTTTTGGAACCAACTTACTTTAAACAGCTACGTAATTTTAGTAATTTTTCTGAGGAAAACAGCATAAAAAAAGTAATGTTATTTATAACCCTTAATTTGAATTTAATAATTTTCGTGCCTATTTCTTTATGATAATCTATTAAATGAATTTATATATTTATCTACGTTTTACCCTTAATTTGGTTTATATCATCAGTATTGATTAATTAGTTATTGCTACCGACCGAGCCAATAACCACACATCATGAGTTGTACATTCGAATAAATTAAAAAAAATCATCCCTCGAACCCCTTGGCTTAGTCTCACGAAACTATTCTCATTTCACATACACAAAACTCTGAAATATTTAGGAAAACAAGGATTTGGTCCTGGTGATCAAGAATGGGGCTACGTGAACGTTCGGCCTAAGGCTCACATGTTCTGGTGGTTATATTACACAACAGCCAATGTAAAGTCAAGTTACGAAGAAAAACCATTGATAATTTGGTTGGACGGAGGACCAGGTGTCTCGGGTACTGCTTATGGGAATTTCGAAGAACTTGGTCCGTTAAATACAGATTTGAAGCCAAGGAACCTTACGTTGGTAAGAATAACGTAATATTTACAACTGCAATAAGTTACAATATTTAATTCCGAATTTCGCAACCAAATTAAAAGTTACACAAATTGTTTTGCACGTGTAAACATTAAATAATTATAGATCTTAATATTATACTGCGATGGGATGTCAGATTTTAATCGTTTCGTGTATTTGAAAAAATTTAATCCGTGCATCTACAGATTGCAAAAGAATTTTGGCAAATATGCGCAAAATACATGAGTAATAACTTTGATAAGTAACAACTCGCTAGGGCTGTATATCTTGTATTATCTTACTGATAATATTAATTGAAAAAATTCGAGAATAAAGCTAATAGTTAATTAAAAATAACAAGCTAATAAGTCAAGATCCACAAAAGCTATTATCGAACCCAGTGAACAACTATTTTAACGTTAATAGTAGCAGGTTTCAAGAAAAATGCATAACACATGCGATATTTCGCGTTAGTTCTAAATGAAATATTCGACAAGGATGAAATAAAAATGGAAGAGGAAAAAATCATACGAAAAGTGCGTTACTTTAGTTATATTCGTAAGAAAGTTTCCTTTATACTTGTAAAACAGTTAAAAATAAAACAATTATTTATCCATACACTGAGCGACCCAATTCTTTGAATCAAAGAAAATTTCTTTACCCTCATTCCGTTAAATATTTTCTTGAGTNACAGGTTCACCACCACCGTATCCGCTCTTGCCCACTCCGCTGGCCATAATGGTGCCCAACACCGAGACCTGGACGCAGGTCAAATCTTCGTGCGAGGTATTTTATTTTTATTTTTTTTTTTTTTTTTTTTTTTGTTTTGTTTTACATACTTATTGATGTGTGTAATAGCAGTGGTGTGTCATTTGAAAAAGTAATTTAAGAATTGTATTTTGTGTGTCACTTTCTTTCAAACTGTAGGTAAAACAAGAAAATGACAATTTTTTTTCCCGACAAATAATACCGGTACTCTTCCGGAACGTACGTAACTCAGCTACATGGGAATTTGAAAAATCTTATCGAGCTTTAATCGAAATGTCGATCAATTTTTGTCAATTTAAAACGATTGTTTCGATTTGATCTTTTCATCTAACTTTATTTTTGTTATATTATTTATACATTTTATGGAATCTTGGTTTTCCGAATAAATTATTTCTGCAAAATTAAATTTTTCACTGTTCCAAGAGTAAGTAGAAAAAAAATTGATGATTTTTATACTTCCTTAATAATATTGTTATACACGAATAATTGATTGCTAAAAACATGTGAATCTTTCAATCCAACCTCGATTTTACGGGTAAAAAAATATACGCAAAAAATACTTAGTATAATGGGCGCCATAAGCTGTCTGCTGTTTTACACATTTTTTTTCCAAAACTTACGAATTTCTGGAGGATGGGATCGGTTCGTTTTTTTTTTTTTTTTTTAATAAAATATCTTATTCGGAAACTTAATAGACACGTACTTAAGTTTCAGCAAGTGTCGGCCTCTGAAAGTACTTATTGCGTTACTCTTTTTTTCAGGACACACTTGCGCAGTGTATACATGCATTATAATTCAACTAGTGTATTAAATGTATACATGATAAATAATTTTATTTTTACAGGCAATGGATGGCAAGGAGTGTATAGGTGCTATAGTGTGTAAGCTAGATCTCCACAGAAAAGGGATAAAGCGTGGCTACATCGCCATGCTGGCCGTAGATGTGAAGTATCGAAAACGCAAAATTGGTTCGAATTTAGTAAGACGAGCAATCCAGGCGATGATCGAGGACGATGCAGACGAGGTCGTGCTCGAAACTGAGATAACAAACCACCAAGCACTGCGGTTGTACGAAAATCTCGGTTTCGTCCGGGACAAACGGCTGTTTCGTTACTATCTCAACGGTGTAGATGCACTTAGACTAAAACTCTGGCTTAGGTGAAATTGCCCAAGTTTATGTGCCTGTGCTATTGTTGCAGCTACTTGTCCTCGTCGTGCCAGTACGATTAAAACGATAGACTTACGATTAATAAGAACAATTTCGCGTTGGGTTTGTCGATGGGGAAAGCGTTAAAATGTAAAAGTTTTAAAGGGGAAGGAATAAAAAAGGTTGCGACACTGCCTTTGTTGAACTCTACTCGACCGAGCCGTTTGTTCATTTTCTTTCCTCTATTTTTGAGCCATGATGATGTGTTATCTCTCTTTTATTACTATACTCGTACCTATGTACATGCGAAATCCCGCCTTCTCCGCCTTCTCGGATTTATTTATTTATTTTTTTTTTTGCTGAACTATTTCATTTATTGACAGTGTACTAATGATACATGTATCTGTTTTTATACACACAAAATTATCTGCTGCAGATCTTTTAAATTTTTCCACTGACCTAACATTTTCCATTTAACATTAATTTAACTTTCTATAGTTTTTCAACAGCAGGAAAACAAAAGGAAAATCATTACGATTGTTAAACTTACCGACTTTAAATTAAA